TGAGATTTTTCATTGTTCCGGAACAATAGATTTAACAATATGATACAATCAGTTTTATATTAACAATCAAAACAAACATTGTATCTGGGGTAACAATACAATACAACCGGAAACAACCATCCAAACAACGTGTAAGTTTCAAATAAAAGATTAGACGAATCAAAAGCCCGTTTGGCCATGAAATTTTTCAATTTTTGTCAATTTTTTTTAATTTTTTTTCGAAATTAGTGTTTGGCCATAAAATTTTCAATTTTCACTTCAAGATGAATTTTAGAATTGTTCGAAAATTTGAAAAACTCCAAAAAATAACCCAAAATTATATTAATGTTCAAACACAACTCTAATTTTAAAATATCATTTTCACTTTTTCCAAAATTTTAAAATTCTTATGTCCAAATTGTTTTTAGAAGTTGATTGAACCGGTAAATTGTTTGGTAACGATGAAGAAAAGTAAAAATAAAGAGTTAGCCTGCGACGAATGAAAACCCTCTCCTCTTCCACCTGCTAGGAATCTTCAAGCTTTTGCTGTTCCAATCCTCTTAATCCGCCAATATACTTGAAAATTTTGTTAATTTTTTCTGCACTATAGGAGCAACGTATGACACTATTTTGGAAAATCTGATCAGAATTTTTTTAAAATCGCCATTTTTGGAAACTCTGAGGACCGTCCATCATTGTAGGAGGTCAAGATCAAACACGACTATGAGCATTTCACCTTCACTGTTTAGTTCTTCAGCCTCACTACTCTCCGTTCTCACGCTTCTTCTAACATTCACTCATGGGAACACGTAAGTGACTCCGTTGCTTATGTCATCATTATACCTAATATTCAAAATTTTGGTGCAATTTACATCACAATGTTGCTGATTTGTGCTTTATTTTTGGAAATAGATCAGTTTCTTTTAATAATAATGAGTTTTGCAATATATTATTTGATTTAACTTATGTAGGGTGACAATATATATAAATTTGACACAATCGTTGTAATTTAATTGGTTGAAGACATGCCAGGTTAAAAATCCATCCTCATTCCTCACTATGAATAGTTACATATAAGTTATAATGATTTAAGTTGCAGAGTTAATAGTTTGTATACTTTTTCCAAGTTACCACTCAATGCTGATTATACAGAGTTACATGCGATTTCTATTTAGGTGACTTGATTGTATAGATATTTCCTATTACCATCCATTGCATTCAACTTAAACTCGGGCTATAATTAGCTTATAAATAACCTGATTGAGTACGTATGATTTATACCAACACTGTGTAAAAGTTAAACTTCATAATGTTATAGGATGGATGTAAAGGTTTTGCAAGTTGGACAGGAGCTAATGAAGGAAACTCTTCCATTGCAGTCCGGATCTAGACTATATGAACTGCAAGGGTTGAATTCGAATAAGTGGTATGAAGTGAAGATCTCATATCCTGCTTCTGTATGTACATTTGCATTCTTGCCTACTAGTTTTGTATACCCTATTGGTATTTAAAGCTTAAACCTTTTGCTGTTGAATGTATAACAGATACCAGCGACTTTTACTTTACAACTAAGTAAAGGAAGTTCGGGGCTAAATGGTGGTAGGAAGTTATTGAACACTGAGAAGATTATTTTTCAGGCTGACAGTATTCAATTGCTTGGTGACAAGGTTTGGTTATGTCAGCATGATATAGAGTGATTTGTTTTTCGGCTCATTTTTATGGCGGTAAAGGCACTGATAATGGAATTTGGCGCAGGGTGGAACATCTGTCCTGGTAAATGTGGAGCCTGAGGGAATTGTTGCAATACCTGGGGTAAAGGAGAGGAAGTACGTGATATATAATATAGGTAAATTTCCCCCCTTAATTTAGATAGTTCAAAGTTCCATTCAACATATTTAATCATCTTCTCACATGCCACTATGATAATTGTTCACTAAAATTGTCATCACTTATAAGCGAATTGGAAATGCTAAATTTTGAAACATACCTTAACCTCCTTTTTTTCCTCCCACAAAAAAGTGGGAAAGAAGCAAGACCAATATACCTATGACTTGTGTTTTTGAGTGCCATAGCAAAATAAAAAGGAAAGGGAAATGCAATAATTGAAGGCTACCTGTTAATAAATTGAAAATAGGCGTATTGACATAACTCTCTTTGATCTAGGAAGTGCGTTTATGTGAAATAGAAAAAAGGTTAAAGCATGCTATTGAAATTTATTTAGGCTATGAATCAGCTATATCAATATACGGGGACAACAATAGCAACTATGCCTCTATCCCGAGCAAGTTTTTGGGTCGGCTTTATTAATCCTCGTTGCCCATATCGTTCCATTTAAGCCTGAGTCCATATACCAAGTTGTCATATACAACTTATATTATCTGTACCAAGTGTCAAGTGGAACCCCTTAGATTAAAGGAATCCCTAAAAGCTGTTGCAAAAGATTGTCAAAGGGAAGAACGTAGAGCATGCAAATTCTCTTGCAATGGTCTGGTGATTTATTTATTACTCCTATTAGAAGAAGCTAAAATTTTTATAGGTGTTATACAGATTTGCATTGTTTCTTGTCACTTGAAGAAGAGAAAAAAAGGTAATTTTGTGTGAGGAATATATAATATGGGAAAAGACAAAGGAAAATGTTGTGCATGTTTAAGTCCTCAACTGGAGATGCTATTATTATCTAGTTTAGTGGAGTTTCTATCGTATAGGATGAGAGTTTATTATGACGATGAGAATATATGAGCCATGATCTACAGAACTCTGAGAACTGCTCTAGCCAGTGGCTATTGCACCCATTGGCAGGCAGCAAACTCCTTTCGATAGGTGTGTTGGTGTTGGGAAGTTAAATTTTAGCAGATATTTTATTACGCTCTCTTCAGAAGGGAGGATGGCAAGATAAAGTTTAGTATGGATGTATATAGTTGGCTCAACTTAGCATCTGTAAATTCCCCTAGTAATCTTTTGGATTTTGTCAGCTCCCTAGCCTTAGCTTAGCTTTCTTCTGTAGTGGAGCTGATTTTATTATTATGTACTCTCACTCTTTTGTATTATTTGCATCTTCTTAGTACCTTAAATGAAATTTCCCTTCATTTAAAAATAAATCAGTATGGATGGTTATAAAGTTGATCACTTAAAGTCCTATTATAACAAATTACACCTCACACATATTTCAACTTAAGATGCCTCAAAACATTTATCTACTAATGGAGTCATAGCAATGTAGATACTTCTAATCTGGAGGAGAACAACAATACAGTTTGATGGAGGAGAAACAATAGAAAAAGCTAAATACAGTTGATGTTTGTTAACCACATAGTATTGCATAGCCAGGGTGTTTTAAAGTTTAGAGCTTTAGTCTTGTTGGCAGATACCTATCTTCTGCTTGTGACCTATTTGTCCAAGATTAACAAGGTTTCCTTATGCTTCTGGCAGTTTAAGGAGACAAGATTGGCATTTAAAGATACAGTTAGCTATTATAAGCAGAAATAAGGTTTGTGGGTTCTTAATTAAATTCTGAAGGAAACCTTGAATTAGAACTAAAGAAAGCAACGGGCGATCCAATAGAGTCGATGCTAAAAGATCATAGGACTCTAGTTCCCCCTGACACTTTCCTTATGGTAGTTGCTTAATCCAAATAATTTTTATGCCCAGAGTTACTTACCTCGGGTATATTGTTTACTCATAGGAATCTTTCGATGCCTAATCACCTATTCTAAGTCTTCACTATGTAAGGTAAGCAAATATATTTCTATCCTACTCACAAATCAATTTCAGAATGCTTAGGTTCATGAACTTACACTAAGCAATCCCAGATATCCTCTTTCGAGTTCAACCTAAGGTTCTTAGATGGTGCATGATTGTTGGCCCGGCAATCAGACAAAAAAATAACTCTATAAAAGCATAAACAATTAACTAAAGGCAGACTCAAAGCCGGCTATCTAACTTAAGCAATGTCTTTCTAATATCACATGCTTTTCTTTGACAGTGTGTGATGAGCTACTCTTTGGCATCCCTCACCAAGCATGGTATGTTGTAGTGTTGGTGGTGCTCTGCTTGGCACTGGCACTTGTAATCCCGTCTTTTCTTCCGCCATATCTTCTACCAAAGAATCAAGGGCTAAATGCAGCTGGTCGTGGTATTTCGAAGGACTCTTAACCATGTTCTGGTATTTGGCACAGTCGCCAATGGGTAGTGGGTCTAGAAGTTCAAATTATTAGAAAAATTTTGTAACCTGTGCAAGCTAGTTTTGTTAATTGAAAATGAGTAAGATACATGATTAGTCAAGCAATCCTTCATCCCCCGTCTCTCTCAATTTGTGTTCTATTTTTCCTCTCTTGGCTGTAAACATGGAGTTTGTTTTGTTCATCATTTACTTGCTTGGACAATGTTTCTACTTGCAAAAATTTCATGTGCCCCTTGTTATTAACTGAAAGGAGTTAACCTCGTCTCAGAATGAGGGGAGGCATCAAGATACATGTGATGCGCCTCACTCCTTTCTCATTGATGTCTTTCTTTAAGTAGAACCAGGAATGTTTTTTATTTTATATTATTTTAAACAATAATACCTTATGTCTGTTGGAATTAATTTCTTCTTTATTTCCCATGTTCTGCTTTCTACTTGGCATTTCTTCCGTCCTTTTTTAGTAGAGTAATAATTTGTTTGTGTTTTAGTTTTGTTTTAACTATTATTTTGTTACGGAAGAACTGGAGAAGCATTATACGTTACATGCACTTTCTCCATCTTTTCCCTCTCCTCCTTGCCAAATGTTTGATCTTGAATGCTCATAAAACCAAAGGCTCATGCCAATCTGTTCCCCAACACGCCCCCATCCCCTGCACACTTTATCTACACCCCTTCATGTCTCACACCGCCCAAGAAGATGATGCCAACTGTACTTCCATGTGTCCTATGCGTCCCACTTTATCACAAAAATACTATATAATGCAAATTTCTCCTAATCCTTTGCATTCATTCTCAAATCCCTTTAAAGATATTATAACACCTCCTTTTAGAAATTTTAGTCATGTCTGATCAGCAGAGAGAACTCCATAGATCAACTCCAAGTTACGAATCCTTGAGGTTCATGGCAGCAGGAACACTTGGTGCTGTTTTGTTAGGCTTGTCCAGTCTGACCTTTGCAGGGACAGTTATATTTCTGATCCTTGTTACCCCATTCCTTATCATGGCCAGCCCAATTCTTGTCCCGGCTGTGATAATTCATGTCCTGATCAGCGCCGGTTTCTTGTTCTCTGGCGGGTCTGGCACAGGGGCATTAGCTGCGATGTTCTGGATGTATAGAAACGTCCGCGGGGAAAACCTATTTGGGGCAGACCAACTTGATTTTGCTAGGATGAGGATTGCAAGCAAAGCTTGGGTTATGAAGGAAAGAGCTAAAGAGGGTGGACAATCTGTGCAGAACAAGGCTCAAGAGACTACTCAAGCCTAATAATCTGGAATGGGAATACAAGTTATCAAGTGCAATTTGTGTTACCTTATCTTAGACTTTCTGATTATCCTAATAAAGAGGGGAAAATAAAAACGAAAAGAGGGGAGAGATGGGAGAGTTGTCTGTCTTATTCCTACTGATCTTGGCAGTCATAAATAAGTTCGTATTTTGTTCCTTTCTGATATATGAATCAAATAATGGCCTTTTATTCTCCAAGTCTGATGAGTAAATGATGTGGTCAGTATGTAAAATCTTGGATTTTAGCCTTTGGAACCGGTTAAAAACTAAACAAAAAGTTGTTCGTCCATTCAAACTCTTTCATCTACGAAGCTAAGGCGGGAAAAAAGAATCATAGTTTCACCCTGTAATAAGCTGAAATGGATCCATTTGTGTGTCTAAATACTTTGGCCATTTCTTCATCTGGTCAATATTTAGACCCGTATATAAGTAACGGGAAAAAAGACCAACATACTTTTGCAAAACTTACTTAAATGGGGATGAAATTGAACAGCAGCCTGATATTATCATACTTGTGCAAACCTTTTTTTTTCTTTCTTCAGCCCAAGATCTAGAGTCCTCATAATCAATGTGTATTTAGCAAAATGTAACACAAAGGAAGTCAATGATCCATAATTCCATATATTACATATTATAGGTCGGAGACAATGTAAATGGTGTTATAAATCCGAAGGTGGATGTCCAACTTGAGATTTGGAAATCTTGCCATATCTAGATTTGTCTTCATGTCTAGATTTCTGTTGATTTTGAGACTCATAACTAGATTTAGGAAGTTATGTAACAATGCAATAGTATCTATAGATAGGTTCATTCATGAACCTAAAGAAGACACTTTGAAACGAAGAAAGAAACGCTCCTTTCTAATATTATCATTCTCCTCTATTATTAATCTTAATTACATAGTTCTTGCTATATTACTTTTATTTCATAGCACGTTATCAGCACGAACTCTAATCAACTGAGTGTCATCCGTCCACAAATATGTCCTGCATCCTACTTAAGAATAGCTGATTAAAGAAAGTCTATGAATCTAAATGGATCTAATTGGCACTGCTGAGAGGATAGCGCAAAGGTTAGTATGCTCTTTAAAGCTATCTATACTGGCATAGTTACAAAAGCTACATATCTTTAGGGTGCTACCTGATTCTTTATGCTTGCTTATTTTGATTATGGGCAAAACGTTAGTGGCTACTTTAAGTTCACTATTAAAGGAATTTTACATTTATACTAACTTGAACATTAAGGAATAGTAAGTTACAGAAACTCAACAAGACAAATAGTAGTTCAACTGTAAAAGTTGGTTTTCTTATATCAATATCCTTCACATATAACTTTGGCATACACATATTGCATTGATTATATGGGCGTGCTAAACTTATTAGCCCTTCTTTTTGAAAATTATTCAGGATATATTTTCAATTGTTTCAAGTATAGTTGAAAATCACTTTGCTTCTTAATTTAAGTTAACTCTTATGTTTATCCGCAATTACGTTTTTCGCAAAAGTAATGGAATGATACTGCAAAGAGGTTAACATATATCTAGGGTGTGAAATATAATTGACAAATTACGACACTAGTCTAGCTTCATATTTATAAAATTAATGATTATTAGCTATGCTTGGTAATTTTCTGTTGGTTAATTATGAAATATTAAAATTTAATATTTACAGTAGTAGACAGTCTTGATTTCGCCAAAGTTCACTAAGCTAAATATGATAGAAGAAGTGGTATTACTTCAAAAAGCTCGTGAAGACATGCTAGAGAGAAATAGTCTCTATGTTACATACCTCAGATTTGCTCAGGAAGTAGCAATATTTTAAAAGAGGTTTCAAAAGAGTTCGAGTCCTAATGTATGGATAAGATTATTGAGTTTAAGTCCCAATACATTATAGCTTCAACACACCTTCATAAGGATAAGAAGTTGAGTTTGAGTTCTGATGCATCATATTGATGGTATAATAATGATCGGGGCAAAATAATGCCATTTTAATAAAAATTATGACGCTCGTCCCACTGTGATAAGTTATGCGTCTTTTGTTTTGATGATTTGACAAACTTCATGAGAGAACCAAATAAAGAAGTTGATACAACTAGCTCCCTCGCTTTCAGAGTAACTAGTCAGATGTCTGGTTCAATTCTCAATGAAATCAGACAAGGGAATAACAGAGGGAACATATAGGTATCAGTTCCCCTGGTCGTTGTGCAGTCAACTCTACAGTTGTAAAAGCTGCCGCACTGTATCGTCTGGCAGCAGTACAGCATCACAGTTGTATCTTACTAAGGCCAAACTAAAGGACACTTTATTGCATCATCTTTGATGACCTCACACACATATTATCAACATGAGGCAAGGGATTTCATTTTTCTCTAACACTTGCAAATCCAAAGATAATATTTTCTCAAGTGCTAGCCACCACTCCTCTCAAGAACAAAGCTGCTTCAACCTCAAGGACCAGATCCAAAGATTGAAGATATCTTAAGTCTTTATGTTTGTTGAGTCTTTGTTATTTTGTTCTTCATTTGTAATCCTACACTACTTTCAAGAAGTGTCTTTGTAGGACAGATTTAAATCACTGTTTGGTTTAGTTTCTTGACTAGAGTTAGTCAGTGTTTGTTGCTTTGTAATAGAGTTATTGCAAGGACGAGGACAAGGAGGAAGATGAGGTAAGTTTTCATGATGTTCAAAGAAATTTAAGAACTTACTCTAAGAAAAAATCGATGTCCGTAGCAAATATGTTGATTGATGCCTATCATAGCCTCATTAATGAGAAAAATACTCTAATAGAAGAATTGATGACATAGAACAAGAGATGGATGATATGATAGTTTTTATTGTAGACTTGAAGGAACACGTGGAAGAAGTAACTAGAGAAAATACCTTGTAGAAAAACCAAATGAAAAAATGGATGGACACCCCTAAAGGAAAAGAAGTGGTTAGTGAGGCTCAACTTGAGATTGAGAGTGAGCTTAAGAAAGTTAAAACAAGTCTTGTTGGTGAGCTTGAAAAGAATAGACAACTTCAGGAGGATTTAAAGAAGGGTTACAAATGGTCTTGATAAGTCACTTAAATGTACCTGATCCTCTGATGTAATAACGTCTATGTATAAGAGTAATGGTGGAGTCAGGCAAGGAATCAGGTTCCAAAAGGCTAAAACCTCCTATAAACTCCATTACAAGTATGTAACTGTGGCTATAAATTGTTGTGTACTCACTGTGGTCAAATGGGTCATTACAAGGACTCTTGTAAAACTAAAATTCAGTCTTTGCAGAAAAATAAAGTTTTTGTTGAAAAGAGGCCTACTATTGAGGAACCTGGTTCCCTGAAAAGAAAACATGTGCTATTTGTATGGGAAAAAAGAAGTTTGATCTGCCCGTGCTATCATTATAAGGTACCCAAGCTGGCTTGGGTTCCTAAGTCTAATAAGTAATTCCGGGTGCAAGATGGAGTGAGAGATAACAACCAAAAAATAGTAGATGGATAGTGGTTGCTCTAAGCATATGACTGGAAGAATGGATGATTTCCTCTCACTCTAGGCCTTCCAAGGTGGGAATGTGTCCTTTGAAAATGGAAAGCTATATTCTTGGTGTTGGAAAAATTGGCAAAACACTCTCCCATGCAATTGAAAATGTGTACTATGTGAATGACTTGAAATATAGCTTGTTGAGTGTGTCTCAAATCCGTGATAAGGGAAATTGAAGTGAAGTTCTTGTCCAAATCTTGCACTGTCACCAATCTCAAAGTTGGTGAAGTGGCGTTGATAACCAAAAGGTTCAAGAACATCTATATTGCAGAAATTGATTCATTTAGTAGTAGTGATCTAACATGCCTAAGAGTCATTGATGATGATGTTGATTTATGGCACAAATGACAGGGGCATGCGAGTTTTTATTTGATGAACAAGTTAGTTATGGAGGACCTGGTTCGTGGGCTGAAGCAGCCAACCCTGCCTGCTACGTGATTAAGAAGTGCATGATCAGGTCCATTCTTAAGAAGTCTCTCTATGAACTGCTCAATGGGAGAACACCCAAGCCGACTTACCTGAGAGCCTGCAGATGCAAAATGTTTTGTTCTCAACAATGGTGGGAAAGGGTCACATAACAAAGAAGATAAAGACGGAGAATTTACAAATACTTTTGGTGAAGCTATAGATATTGCAAATAGAAAGACTGATTTGATGATTCAAGTCAAGCAGAGCGATGAAGAAGATGCAGCAGAATCTCCAAAAGGCACAGAGGAACCTGGTCCCTCTATCACCTCATCTGAAGCTGAACATAGAGTTGCTGATGTTGCATCAAGTACATCAGATGCAGAATAAAGAAGTGGAGGTTATAATTCTGTATCAATAATATTTCAAATATGGAGGAGCCTGGTCCTTCAAATTCTGAAGTTTAAGTACTTCAAGGAGCTGCTGAAAAGATTTGAGATGTAGAATGCTAAGACCATTGATACACTTATTGCCACTACTACTCGGTAAGACATGGACGAAACTGGTTCTCCTGTCAATGAAACTATGTATAGGGGTATCATTGGATCTCTTCTGTACTTGAATGTTAGCAAACCTGATATTATTTTAGTGCTGGGTTGTGTTCTAGGTTCCAATCAAGCCAAAAAGAATCTCACTTGAAGGCTGCCAATTTTTTTTTGAGGTATCCTAAGGAGACGTAGGACATGGTACTCTTTTATCCTTCAGGAGATAATTTTACTTGGTTGGATATGCTGATGCTGATCATGTTAGATATCTGGTAGATAGAAAGAACACGTCTCGAATTGCATATTTTCTAGGGTCATGCTTGATCTCACGGGTATAAAGAAATAAACTTTGTGGCTCTTTCTACCACTGTAGTTGAATACGTGATTGCTGCTTCTTGTTGTGCTCAACTACTATAGATCAAGCAACAACTTAAAGACTTTGGTGTATTTGTATCTTGAACCCTGTACATCACAAGAGGACAAAGCACATTGATGTCCGACATCAAATTTT